TAATAGATAAGCTACAAGACAGGTTATGTATATTTTACCTGCTCAAATATAAAAGAAAAGAAAAATTATCTCTGGCTGGTTTGTGTACAATGTGCAGACATACTTGTATTAATGCAGATATGTATATTACCTTTGAAAGTTTGTATATTTTCAGAGCAAGAGGACCAACACTAATGAAAACTGGTGGCCCAGGAGATCCAGCCTCTCAGAATGTCTCTATTACACTTTCCTCAGTGTTCTGTATCCAGAACAGCTTCAAGGCTGCTAGCTGAGAGGGTCTGTCCTCACAGACTATTCTAGCTGGGACTACAGATAAGCCTTGCAATTTCCCATTGCATAAAGACTGGATGACAAATGTTATGACTAGCTCTTCCAGGACTTCACCATCATACCAATTTTCTCACAGTCTCTTAAAGATTCTTTCACTCCTGGACAAGAGGAAGCAATCTAAAGAACACAATACCCACATTCCCAAGAGGTAGGGTGGGTGGTTTTTGGTCATTTAGTGGGTTAAGGATGTTTGTCATCATTTAGGGGGGATTGGTTTTTCATCATTTGTGGGGGGGGGTTGTTACTGGTCATGTTCGTGGGTGGTTTTTGGTCATTTAGTGGGTTAAGGATGTTTGTCATCATTTATGGGGGATTGGTTTTTCATCATTTGTGGGGGGGGTTGTTACTGGTCATGTTAATGGAGAAAGCTAAAAAAGGAGGGTAGATTCAGGGGTCCCTTTCTGAAGGGACAATGGATATAGTATGAAAATAGTGGGATAAAAGGGTGGATTATTGAGTCTACTTTTGATCAACCACTAGTCTCAAATATTTTACATTTTGTGCATTGATACATATTTGAGGTTATTTTTCTTGTTCTGTATATATGTTTCTATTCTTTTTTTCAAGTATTATACCTATACAGCTCATTTAAAAGGGTAATGTAAAAATTCAGTCCTTGAAAGCTATTTAGGATAATAAAGAAATACAGGTTAATAGTAATCTATAACAATCAAACTTATAGTCTTGTTAAGTATGTTTTCAACTTCATACAAAGGTATATTATAAATAGGTGATCTTCAAACACTTCAAAGTCCTACAGAATATGTCATTTAAAATGTTTTAATAACATAAGGCTTTTCATAACAGTGAGATATGTCAGCTCCTGGCAGCACCAATTTACTTCAAAAAAAGATGATGGACATCAAAGAACATTCATATATAGTTAGCTTTATGCATATGAAAAGTTATCCATTTGAGCAAGAAGCCACGCTTGCCTAAACTGCTGATAGTATGCTGTCCAAACTGGGCAAGCAACACACAAAAGAGAGCAACTGCTGAACTTTGCCAAGACAATGTGAGACAGTCCTTCAAAAATTCCTACTTCACAGAAAAGTCTGCCAGACATTCTAGGTCTGTAGGCCAAAGATGAATGTCCCAATGTTGCAGAGGAATGTTGGGTGCTGTCCAGGAAGCCAGCTGTGTCTGTTATTTCTATAGTTTTGGAAGTGGCTTCCTTTACATTTCCTGTTTACTCAGCTAATGTTATATCCATCTTGGATCTCTGGTGGAGTTTAAGATAAAATAGCTATGGTTTCAGTTTTCTTTGTTATCAAAAACAAAAAAGAAACTCACAAAAGAGGTATAAAATGTATGAGGTTGAGACAAAAGTCTTAAATTATTTATCTAAGAAAATGTTTTGAAAAAATGAAAATGGTTTGAGGTCTAAAAAAGTTTTGATATGGTAATACAAATTATGATAGAAAATGATTTAGATATAAAACTTTAAATTCATCAAGATGAGATGTATATTAGAGTATTTTCTCTGAATATGCCAAATGGACTGGATATTTTAAATGTAATTCTTACCTGATAATTGTTCTTATTGTTTATAGTTTTATTATGTTCGGGTTTAAACCTTTCTTTTTCATTTAGACAAAAAGGGGAAATATTCATTTACCTTGGGTGAAGATGTGACACTATCATTGGTTTAATAAAGATTTGAATGACCATTAACTAAGCAGGTAGGACTATTGGAAACAGAAAGGTCTCAGGTGAAAAAGAAAGGCAGGTTTGCTAATTCTTACCTGATAATTGTTCTTATTGTTTATAGTTTTATTATGTTAGGGTTTAAACCTTTCTTTTTCATTTAGACAAAAAGGGGAAATATTCATTTACCTTGGGTGAAGATGTGACATTATCATTGGTTTAATAAAGATTTGAATGACCATTAACTAAGCAGGTAGCACTATTGGAAACAGAAATGTCTCAGGTGAAAAAGAAAGGCAGGTTTGCCAGATGGATGCAGAGGAAACAGAACTTGTGAGAGGAGAGGTAAAAGCCGCTAGCTAAGTGGCAGCATATAGATTAATATAAATGGGTTAACTGAAGTCATAAGTGTTAGTTAGAAACAAGCCTAAACTAAGACTGACCTCTCATAATTAATAGGAAGTCTTTGTGTCATTATTTGGGAGTGGCAGTCCTAAGAAAAATTCATCTACATGTCTTGTATATATACCAGGTACCTGATTGGTTGGAAGGACTTTAGATCAGTAACAGAGCAAATGGAACTTCACTAAATGGAGAAAGATAAAAGAGAAGACTCTCTGAAGTCCTAGTCACACCTGATCCCCGAGGCATGTAGCCCTGGGGAACTTGAAAACCTGACAAGGTGCTGTCTAAAAGCTGTGGGGTTACACTGATGCATTGGGCCAGGAAACAAAGTCACCCCGCATCATCTTCCTTATTTAAGATCCTGTTGCATAGTTATCATGGAACTCCCCCTACCTGGGTCCTGCAGAGTAAATGAGCAAATTCCTCCATCCTTTTGGACTAATGAGGAGATGCTCCAAACTTTCCCACTGTTTCAGGATGTAGTTCATATAATGGCCAGGCATGCATGCAGAGAGTCATGTGGGCCATGGAGAAACAAATGAGTAGCATTGCTCACTAATTTACAGATCCAGGGACATACAACTGAATAGCCTTCTCTAAGTGCCTTAGTTGGTATACTTTTCAGGGAGCATCCAGGCAACCATGCTCATTCTTCGGTGATATTAAGAAGCAATAAAATATCCTGGTTTTAGAGTGCTACCGAGATGCTATACTAAAATGTTAACCCAGCTCCAAAGGCAGTGCTACACATCTACCCAGGACATATCTATCTACACATCTATCCAGGACATATCTCCAAGAAAGTCTTCTACTGAAAAAACAAACAAATGAAAAACTCTTGGGAAAATTCATCTACCAGGTAGAAAAATACTAATATTAGGACAAAGGAATGATGCAAAAAGAAGGAATACAATATCCCCCTATTAGTAAGACCCAAAGAAAACAAAATCAATGAATTAACTGACAAGGAATTCAAAAGAGTTATTTTAAAAATACAAAACAATTCAAAGAAATTAGGAAAATGATTTGAATTGTGAATGAGTAATTTAGCAAAGATAAAAAAATTCTTGAAAGGGGACAATTATAAATTGTAGAGCTTAGGAACTCAGCAATATTATTCTGTCTATCTGTCACATATCTATCTCTATCTGTCACATATATATACCTATCTCTATCACCTATCTACCTCTGTGTGTTTGTATGTGTATAATATACACATGCATAACTAGAGCCTTGAGAAAAAACAGAACTGATTAAGTGGAAGAATAATTTCTAAGTTTGAAGATAAGTGTTTTCAAATAACAAAATGAGATTTAAGTGAAGAGGAGACAAACAAGGATAAGAGGTGAAGAAAAAGAAGAGGAGAAGGGGTGTGTGTGTTAGTATTTAGGCTTTTGTGCTGGCCTGCCTTTGGACTTCTGACAGGATATGCCCTCAGCTGCATCCACTAGGAGCACCACCTGTGCCTATTCACTATGTTCCCTTTAAAAAGGGCCCCGCCCACTTCCCATCCTTCTCTCTCTCCCCCCTCTGTCTGTCCATTCTCCTCTCTCTTTCTCTGCCTCTCTTTCCCTCTGATGCCCCTATCACTGGAGGCCAGGCTTCTCCCTTCACTTCCCTCTTTTATGATCCTTTTGCCCCAATGAAACCCCCTCCACTTGAACTCTGTCAAATGGCATCTTTCTCACACACACAGCTTTTTAAAAATTACAACAGTATGGACAGGAGGAGGAAGAGGGAAGAGAAAAGGAAAGACTAAATTTGAAAAGTTAAAAAAAAATCTTTACACCTTATGGGGGACCATTAAGTAAACAAATGTTTGCATTATACCCCATTCAGAAGGGGAAAAGAAATAGAAAACCCATTCAAGACAATAATTTCTAAAATCTTTCAAAATATTGGAACATATTTGGAGACAGCAATGTATATGAATCTCAATGACATTAATAAATTTAGCTAACAAGGTTCCTATCCGAATCATTTCCCAGTCAAACTGCCAAACATCAGACAAAGAGAATTCTAAAAACAGCAAGGAACAAGCATGGAGTCTCCCCCCTGGCCTATTAACAGACTTCTCTAAAGAAATCCTACAGTCAGAGGAGAATGAGATGATATATTCAAAGTCATAAGAAAAAAGACAACTAAAATGTTATACCCAGCAATCCTATTCTCCAGGAATAAGGCTAAATATTTTCCAAGACAAACAAAAACAGGCCATTCACTACTGTCAGATTGGCCCTTCTGAGAGAACCACATAAGGGACTCCTATATCAAGAGTCTGACGGCCAATGAAAGCACAAAATTCAGTAAGGGGGAAAAAGAGAAGTAGCTCTAAATAAGCATTGTTTCTTTGCTGTGATTTTTTAAATATAATACTTTTTATGATTTTTGAGAATGTCATACATTCTTTATATATAGTATATCTTGTTCATATTCACCTTGTGTCTTCCTGTAACTCTAATTCCTTTACAATCCACCCCCTATACTTCCAGCCACTTGCCAGCTTCACACATGCTACCCATATTCATGGCTACAAGGTCATTCACCGGATGATCATCAATCTACCAGGGAACATACTATTAAAGAAAATTGTTCTCCCTTCCCCAGCAACCACAAACCTGCTCCTCAACAGTAGGTGGAATTTCATGAATCCCCTTCCCACTCCATGCTGGAGTGCTGACTGTGTCTATCTTGCCAGGAGATCACTGCTGTGAGTCAGTGAGTGCAGTGGTCCTACACTTTCACCCCAGTCTGATGGAGGAGGTTCTTCTGTATATGTTTGTCTTATTGGTTGATAAATAAAGTACTGTTGGCCAATAGGGAAGCAAGTTAGGTGGGACTAGGAGTCAAGGAGGATTCTGGGAAATGTAGTAAAGAGAAGTCTTGTGATCCAGGCAGGAAGTGACATAGCAGGCAGACTCAGATTTTGAGTAGGGACAAGCAGGAAATCGCTCTCTTCCTCTTCCTCCTCCTCTCTTCTCTGGGAGCCACCATATGAGCCCAACAAGAGAGGACACATGCCTCTGGCATCCTCAATCAGATAAGTCTTTATAAAATATATAGATTAATAATTATGGTTGATACTTAAGACAGAGATAGCAGATAAGAAATCCTAGTCATTGGCCAGCAGCATTGTAATTAATATAAGAATCTGTGTGTTATTTTGGGCACCCACGTGGCATCGGGGCTCAGGTGGCTTGGCGGAAAGATTTATTGTTACACCAGTCCTTCCCTGACCTCTGGCTCTTGACATCTTTCCACCTCTTTTTCTGCTACGGTCCCTGAATACTGAGGAAACATGGCATATAGAAAACTGAAACCATGAAGATAAGCAACAAAAGAAAAATACAGGAACAAAGAATATGCAAAAGAATCAGGAAAAAAAAAAACGAACCATTAACAGAATGACAGAAGTCTACTCAACAATGGCATCACATGTAAATGGATCAAATTCCCCAGTTAAAAGAGCCAGACCAGCTGAGAAGAACAAAAAACTAAGTCCAACAAGATAGTGTCTGCAAGGAACACCTACCCAGAAAGCAAAGGGTTGGAAAAAGTTATGGCACACAGATGGAACTTCAGAATGAGAATAACTGCTTATGCTTATATGACAGAAATAAACTTTAAAGCAAAATATATGAAAGAATAGAAAGCATTATTATGAAATGAGAGGTATCAAAATAACAACAAGAAATAATAATTATAAATGGTTTTGCACTGAATACTAAGGGAACCTAATTATATAAGGAAAAGATGATAGATCCTCATTCAAAAACATTTAGAAATTTCCATATCCCACTTTTATCAATGGACAGATATTCCAGACAAAAATTAATGAAAAATTATTACCAGATTCAAGCTTCAATATAGAACATGTACATTTAATATGCATTTATAGAACATTTCATGCAGGACCTAAAGAACAAACCTTATCATCATATGGACTATTACCTAGGATGTTCCACATGTTAGCCTATAAAACAAATCTCACCAAATTCAAATAAATGGAAACCAAGCATGTAGCTTCTTTGAATACAATGTAATAAAGCTAGAAATGAAAAGAAACATTAAAAATTTATAAACACTTAGCAATTAAACATTAATCATTCTTAATGACTAATGGATCAATGAAGAAATCAAAAGAAAAGTTCAAAACTACTCTGAATCCAATGGAAGTCAAATCACAATATGATAACTTGAGGCATACAATAAGCATAAATAGTAGTTTATAAAATATGAAAGATCACATAAATGTAAAAAAGTAATACAATTCAAGAATATAGGAAAGCAATAAATAAATTGAAAACTAATAGAAGGAAATATATAACAGATCACAATAGAAATAAATGAGGAAATTAATACATGTGGGAAATTAATACTGTATACCAGTATTAATACTGGTAATACATGTGTGTATTACCAGTGAAACAATGAACTATTTTTCTAAAATAAATTAATGAAACTGTCAAACTAAGGCTAAATTAACTAAGAAAAGAAGAGAGAACTAAATTAACAAAATCAGAGAATAAAAGAAGAAATTACAACTAATAGCAGAGAACTACTAAAGATTGTTAGGAACCATTATGGAAGATCATGTACAATAAACTTAGGTAGCATAGAGATGTACAAATTTCTGGGCACATACAAGCTACCAAAATTGAACCATGAGGATATCAAAATAACAATTTATGAGATATAATCACTAACAAAACATTTCTTCAGAAATAATAGTCAAGATGTAAATGGTTCTATTGACAATTTTTACAGAACTTTTTGTTTTGTTTTGTTTTTTGTTTCACAAGAATGGGTTTCTCTGAATTTTTACAGAACTTTTAGAGATCTAATAAGAACTTTAGGTGAACAGCTGTCAAGTATGGAAAGTATGTCATGCTCTGAGGCCAGCAATACACTCACACAACCTTACACTCACACAGCTTTACACTCACACAGCTTGACACTCACACAACTTTACACTCACATACAACATTACACTCACACACATTACACTCACACACATTACACTCACACACAGCATTACACTCACACAACTTTACACTCAGACAACATTACATTCACACAACTTTACACTCACACAACTTTACACTCACACACAACATTACACTCACACAATATTACACTCATACAACATTACACTCACATAACTTTACACTCACACACAACAAGAAGGAGACAACTAAATGTCAATAGCCCTAATGAACAAGATACAAAAATTCTCAACATAATACTAGAAAAGTGAGAATAATAGCAAACAAAGGACTATGTACCTTGCTCAGTGATTCAAGGACAGTTCAACACCCACAAATCAATTAATATGAAACATTTCATCATTCAAATAAAAAATAATAACAATATTTATCATCTCAGTAGATGTTAAAAAATATAGGTTCTTTACAACTACATACTAAATACTGATCCTTTACCCACAGATAAGTGTATTCTGAAAATATGCTCATCAAGGAAACTTCTCTTTCCAAAAAATGGAGACCAAAACAAAACAAAACAAACCACAATAAATCAAAATGCAGAGTTGAAGAGCCCAGTCCCAGTGGCTACATCTACAATACAACTCCTACATCTAAGGCTCACAGATCATTGAAGAAGAAGAGAGGGTAGAAAAATTGTAAAAGCCAGAAGACTGGGAAATTTGCTCTTAAAATGTATCTCCTAGGAATATCAGAAGAGCTATACCTATAAATATCCTTTCATGGCTATAAAAATACTATAAAAATCAGGAATGGAAGGAATTTACCTCAAAACAGTAATGAACATGTGTGACAACCTTACAGAGCTTCTACCACTGTAAATAAAAGGAAAGCTGAAATTGTTGCTCCAAGACAAAGATTCCATTTTCACAACTCATGCTGAATATATAAATAAGAGTCCAGACCAAGAAATAAAGCAAGAAAAAGAAATGAAGGATATCCAAATAGAAAAGGAAGGAGTCAAATTATTACTGTTTAAATATTCTGACATTACATATAGAAAATCTACCTTCATAGCCCACAAACATGTTTAAGGAGATAAGTTTTATAAAGTTATATGTAGGGAGACACCCTAGCCCCGCCCAATAGTCCTGGGACAGGTACCAGGTGGACCCGGGACTCGCCCATAAGGGCGTGGTGAAGGAAAGCCGAGGTGACGTAAGGGAGCTTCTTAAGGGGCTGCACGTGGGGACCTTGGCCCCCTTTTTTGTTCTGGCTGCGCTTGCTGGGTTCTATAACCTAGCTCTGGCCTGTGTTTTGCCCTGGTGTTTTCTTGAATAAAGAGACTTTAATCCTAACAGTTATGGACTATAAAACCATCATAAAAATAAGTAGCATATTTGTTATTCATTAATAAAGTTGTTAAGAAAGAAATCAAAGAAGTGACCCAACAACAGCTATAAAAAGTATATGAAGAAAAATTTAGCTAAGGAAGTCAATGATCTCTGCAAAGAAAATAACAAAACACTGTCGAGAGAAATCGAAGAAGACCCACCAAAAAATGAATAGAAATCTCACGTTATGGTTTTGGACTTGAAAAATTAACACTGTTAAGATATCCATACAAAATGTTTTACAAGTCATGTATTAACTGTTCCTACCAAAATATCATTGAAAATTTTCAAATATAAAACACACTCCACAATTTTTTTATGAAACTACAAAAGATCTCAAAAATAGCAAACAAGTTCTGAACAAAATGAGCAACACTGGAGACATTATTACAACGACTGATATTGAAACATGCTAAAGGAAATACAGTGACAGAAACCAAAATACAGGCAAATAACCTGAACTGATTTTCCCCAATAGATTGTATAAGTGGTTAACAAGAATATGAAAAAGTTTATCATCAGAGAAATGCAAACCAAGACATCCACAAGATATTATATTACCCCTCTTAGAATGGCTATTGTCAAAAAGAAAAAAGTAAAGACTAGCAAGAATGGGAAAAATAGAATTTTCATATACTGTTGGTGGGAATATAAACAAATACACCCATAAGGGAGTACAGTTTGGAAACATGTGATATAATGTGTAATCTCCTTATAATGCTATAATAAAAGCCATATGATCTACCAATCCCACTTCTGGTTATACAGTCAAGGGGAATGACATCATCATCAGGCACAGTATACTTGCATGCTGGCTGAAGCATATTCAAAGTAACTAATAGATAGAATCAACCCATGTGCAAAATGAATGATGAATAAAGTAGGATATAAATAATGTATTGAAAGCAATGAAAAGAAGGAAGTCTGTGATTTGTAGCATTATTGTAGACATTAAATCAAGATTAATAACTCAGGCACAAAAAGACAAATGCTACACTTTCTCTTCTATGTGTGGGTGCCAAATGTTGATTTTACAGAGAATAAAATAATACGTGCCAGAAGCTGGTAAGTATGGTAAAGGAAGATATAGGGTGTTATTAATTGGTTTCCAATTGACAGTTTAATATGGGGAATAATTTCTAATGTTTTATAGCACATTGGAATTACTATATTTGATAACAATTAATTGGACATTTAAAGCTATAGATATGTCATTATGTTTCCATGACACAAACATGTATGAGTTGCATTTACTTCTGTTATACCACTGTAACTGAAATTCCTTACAGAAATACTTGAGGGATGCTTTATTTTGCCTCAAGGTTTCAGAGGGTTTTAGCTGATTATAGTGAGGGGAAGCATAAGATTTTCTTTTCCTTTCTGAATTCCTACGTATTTCTTCAAAGTCCCTTTAATGTGC